ATTGACCTCGCATCCCTACAAAGCCGGGACGGAGCACGCCGGGTTCTCACCGGACCAGGCTCTCACATCACCAAGCGCGAAGCGCCGTGAGATATTCGGCGAGTCGCATGACGGGTGTGCTGCATCCTGCTGAGGGTTTTCGGCATCTTGTGCTTACTTCCTTGCGTACGGATGGCAGCTGCGTATGACTTTTTTTTTTTTTTGGTGCTTTCACTTCCTGAGACAGTTGTAAGCGCTGTGTAACTGCCTCGAGGGTACTTGACCATTTAAACACAACTTGGTGCGATCATCCCCCTTGCGCGGAGTGAGAGTTCTCGACCCCACACAACATGATCTACTCGGCCACCATTACATTATCGTTACCGCCAAAAAAAAGAGTAAAAAAAAAAAGAGTAACCTGGTTGCCGAGTTCATGAAATGAAGTGAATTGGCTTGTTGTACAACGTCGTTACCAAGCGACAAAAACCCAACCCCGATGGCACACACCGAGGGGGGGGCTTGTTTCACAACGTCGTTGCCAAGCGACGAAAACNACTTGACCATTTAAACACAACTTGGTGCGATCATCCCCCTTGCGCGGAGTGAGAGTTCTCGACCCCACACNTTTTTTTTTTTGGTGCTTTCACTTCCTGAGACAGTTGTAAGCGCTGTGTAACTGCCTCGAGGGTACTTGACCATTTAAACACAACTTGGTGCGATCATCCCCCTTGCGCGGAGTGAGAGTTCTCGACCCCACACAACATGATCTACTCGGCCACCATTACATTATCGTTACCGCCAAAAAAAAGAGTAAAAAAAAAAAGAGTAACCTGGTTGCCGAGTTCATGAAATGAAGTGAATTGGCTTGTTGTACAACGTCGTTACCAAGCGACAAAAACCCAACCCCGATGGCACACACCGAGGGGGGGGCTTGTTTCACAACGTCGTTGCCAAGCGACGAAAACCCAACCCCGATGGCAACTACCGGGGGGGGGCGACTTGTTTTACAACGTCGTTGCCAAGCGACGAAAACCCAACCCCGGTGGCAAACACCGGGGGGGGCGATGGGAGAAAAAAAAAAAGAAAGCGAGGTTTCGCGTCGTTGCTCGTCATAGGCATACAGCGCGATCAACGAGCGGTACAGACACGAGGGACGAACACGCACAGCCCCGGTGGGGGGTACATACTTTTGAGTCGGGCACGACGCATTGCACAGCACGTTCAATGACGACACATGCCTTCCTTTTTTTTTCGCATTCCCTGTCTGGTTGGTACTTTATGCGGCAGGTAGTGATCGACTAGGTTCTCGCGCATCATGGAGTACGTTCCGGACCTCGTGAGGGCGATGCACATTGGGCCCGGGGGATGTGCCCCGCTGATAACTCAAATGAGCGCTGAGCTACCCGAGCTTGATAAGCTTGCAGGTCAAGACGTGACCACATTCAAGAAGGAGCGCGAGTTCACGACCATGTTGGTGGCCATGATAGATCATTCTGTGTTGGTACAGGACCCGATCGTAGGATGTATGGCGCTTCATCAAGAGTTGGCGGCTTCATCGGAGAAAAGCAGCGCAGTTGGTTACGAGGCCCTGCCCAAAAAGTTCAAGGAGGCACGATTGCAGGCAGGGTTGACAAAGCAGCCCAATTGGGGCGGCTTGGGCGGCGGTAGTGGAGGCTTGATGGCAGGTGGCATGCAACCACTGTCTTTGGCGCCGGCGTTCCATGCCGTAGCACCTGCTTTTCCCTCGGTTCCGCAACAGTACGCACATCCCACGCACAGGGGTTTCGGAGGAGCCAGGCACTACGGGCCGTCGCACAATAGGCTTAGCGGTCGTGGTTTCGGCGGGAACCTTGGGGTTGGCCGAGTTGGTAAATGAGCAGGGAGAGGCGGTGCCGCTGTCTGTGGTAAATGCTCGCAGATGGGAAAGCCCGCTGACCATTCTTTCAGGACGTGCCCGGAGCAAGCGTGTTTCGAGTGCGGCATGCCGGGGCACGTTAAGCGTGAATGCCCGAATTAAGTACAAGGCATGGCGTCGGCAGGTATTACGACGAAGATATGCAATGGTTGTGGTGCGCGACGACACGGGTTCTATGTTTGTTTGGCGGTTGAAAAAATAACAAAAATGAACGATGAGGCAAAATGCGACAATGAGAGAATGCATGCAGAAGTTTGCGAGCCGCAGAGGCCTCAGTCGGCTACAGGTCGGGGTGGGGCAGATGCCGAGAACCTCGACACACCAAACGACGCACGCAGGTCGTGCACGACGAGACGTACTTTGTACGCGTGCACCGCATAGCGACACATCACACAGTGGTTCACACAACAAGACGCGACCACGTTCCTTTTCGTGCACACGATGATTACGATAGTCCGTAGGTTAAAGTGCTGGCATTGTGAATCTTAGACATTTCTGAACCTTGCCCTTTCTTGGCTTGGACCTTGGTCGACAAGGGGCGCTTGGCTCGCTAGATATTTAATATCTGCTACATCATCGAGGACGGTCAGGCGGACAACAAGGCATGACCAAAAGGGCCTGACATGCAACATGGCAGGCGGGCTCAGGGGCAGATGATTTTCTGCGAAAGCGAGCACGACGCGTAGCGAAAGTTCGTACCGGTTCCGTTGGAGATGACGGACATCGTGAGCGACACGTTCAGCGCCCGGATGTCGACCTAGTACAGGACGTTTTACAGCACGAACAACCTCCCGTCACGCCGCACCAAGCTCCGGTATGGCGCCAAGAACATTTCGTCCCAGGACACATCTCGTACCAAAAGTACAGTTTTGGCAGGACGAGATTCTGACAGTTTGCGACGACGAAGAGCGGGCTGTGTACCTCAGATGGTTAGGAGGTGTGGATATCAGATAATTTATTGACTCGGAGAAGGGGAATTCCAAGGACAGAAGTACAAAGGTTCAGAGTAGACGTCAGTAGAGCTCCCGAACCATGTGCCGGAGGCGTTCACAGGTTTTGTCGATGAGCAGGTGATGCCGCCAGGAGTGGAGGAGTCCAAACCACGAGCATTTTTAGACGCACGTTGGCTCAACCTGATTTGTAAAAACGAATTCCTTTCAAGACGGATGCGGTAGGAAAGGTGACGAATGCGCGTGGACAGGAGCTTTCCAGATGACGTGCGACCACAAGTCGGGTTTTCACCATGTACCGTTGGCAAAGGAATCATGGCAGTACTTTGGCTTCAAGAGGGGTGGCAGATACTTCGTGTTTACGGCCCTGTGCTCCGGGTGGTGCTCTTCGCCATACATTTACCACTCTCATTCGGCGGTGGTGTCGAGATACTCAAGGACAAAAGGTATTCCAGTACTCACGTGGATCGATGATTTGTATTTCACGAACTTGCGTTCCACTCGCGGATTGGAGCCAGTACAGCAGAGGCAGGCAGCCCGGGTGGCAGGATACTTGGTCATGACCGGGTTATTCAAGGCGGGGTACTTTATGTGCATACCAAAATGTGAGCTGGAAGCGACCAACAGACTGATCTATTTTGGAGTGGTGTGCGACTCAAAGGAGCAGAAGTTCTTTATTCCGGAGGAAAAACTGGCGAAGTTGGAGACAATCCTCATCGAGGCACTGACCCAAGGAGTTATTTCGTTTCAGGCTTCGGAAAAGCTCGCAGGGAAGTGTACAAGCATGTCAATCGCGTGTCCAGCGGCAGCTCTGTATACGCACCACATGTACAAGCACATCGGAATGTTTCAGAGAAACGGAGGACGGAAGTGAAACATGGACATTGACGTCCCCAAGAATGGCGGTTTGCGCTTTGAGATGGCGAAGTGGTTGGAGCACGATAGAATGTGAACGGAGCTGCATGTTACGCGGCACGGCACCAGAAACTGACGATAGTAGGGGCGTCGGACGCATCGTCGACCGGATGGGGCGGTTTGATCTTGACTATTCTGGAGAGGTGTTGGTCTGGTACGGGCGAACAACAACAAAACCGAGGATCATCCATCAACCATGATTACTTAATGGAGGTGGCACCAGCACGACCAAGAGTTTTGTGTCAGCACTCAGAATGTTTAGGTGAAAACGATGAGCGATACAGGTATTGCCAATGGTGCGCGAAGGCTTGTACAAGTTCAGGTCAGAATTCTACAGTCGGGCCCTTAAACATTGACGAGGCCGCTCTAGCCAAGAGATACAGAGAATTTAAGGGGGCAACGGCAGATACCGCGGCGATGAGGACCAGATGCGCGATAATGCTTACATACACGCAGTTTCTTCAGTCGCGAAAAACAGGGCGTGTGGTGTCTATGACGGAATCTCAGCCGAGAGATGTAGTTGCCTATCTTTGCTGGTTCGATGCCTGCGGCAAGAGGAGGCGTACAGTTGTACACGCAAGGGAATGTCAAGCGGTCGGCAGCTTAGACGCCTGTTCAACCGGGCAGGGGGCGTGTACCAATAGGTGTGCTCACGATTCTCTGAGAATGAACCACTTGTCAAAATTGGCGGTGGCTTTCGAGAAGGAGTTGGGTTGCACGCACGATTGGGACTGTCAACGACGAACAGGAAACCCAGTGAGAAGCGAGTTGGTGACACAGTACATGCCGTTTACAACGAAGCAGCAAAAGCAAGCAGGGGTACTCGTTAAACAAGCGCCAGCGATCTTGCGCAGCCACTTGCATCAGATACTGGTTCCTTCGAGGGCCGAGCTCGATTTTACAACATCGGCGGAGAAGAGGGTGACCTTGGCCCGAGATATAGCTTTCTTCACAGTAGCGTTTAGTACGACGAAGAGGGGAGACGAGTTGGTAAACACGCTCATGCAATGTATACTACCGCTACCCAANCTTGCATCAGATACTGGTTCCTTCGAGGGCCGAGCTCGATTTTACAACATCGGCGGAGAAGAGGGTGACCTTGGCCCGAGATATAGCTTTCTTCACAGTAGCGTTTAGTACGACGAAGAGGGGAGACGAGTTGGTAAACACGCTCATGCAATGTATACTACCGCTACCCAACAAGATCGGACTTGTGTTCAATTCCAATGGGGGAAGACGCAGCGAGATGGTGCGGATCACGTGTTATCAGTGGAATGCGATTCGGAGTGTTTGCCTCTGTGCCCTGTTAGTGCGGTAGAGCGCTACATAGACATGAGAAGAGTGTGGGTTGGGATATGAGGACAGGCTGTTTGTACTCGGGCATTTCGGCGAGTAAGACGGGAAAGAAGCCGCAAAGGGAGCCGAGGCCAGTGACGGCGGCGTACATGACATCAACGTTGAAGAATTACGCGAAAGGAGTCGGTTTGGAGCAAGAGTTTTCGATGCATTCGTTCAGGGCAGGGGGAGCCATTTCGAGGGCTCTAGCCGGAGAATCCCTTTCGACAATTAGTCTATGCAGAGAGGGTATTGGAAAAACCCGAAGACGGCGTGGAGGTAAATGAGACTCATGGAGCTGGTAGCTCCAGGAGCGGGAAGCGAAGGCATGGTAGAAGGGGTCACGGAGGACCAGTACCGAGAGTTGAACGAGTTTCCATTTGAGCGAACGAGGTCCTTCATTGGTGGCGTTCGGGAACAAGCAAAAAGACAACGAAGAAAAAAAACAACAAACTACGTATATTTTAGTACGGGATAAAACATTGAACACCTGCAACTTGGCATCTGAAGGATGTGGAGTTAGTTTTGGAAACGGTGACTTCATCAGCCGCGGGAGGTTAAACCGCTGTCTTATCCCACACTGTAGGGGAAGAATAAACGGTCACAGAGATACTGCTGTATTATGAAGACCGGTCCGGGAAAAGTTCCAAACATGTACCAGGAACGTTCGCACACGAAAGCACACACACTTATCGCAGGGGTGCCTCTCATTCCCACTTCTTTGGGCAACCAAGCGCCGACACGGCAAACAGGAGGGAAGAGAGAGGACGTTTAAAGCACCACCCACCCACCCTCACAAGTCGTAGTAGTACACTACAAGGTGCCGTTTATTTTCCATTGATTCAGTCGCGATCAGAGAGTGTCGATGAGTGTTGCAGAGACACAGGAAAACACTCATCGACACTTCCTTTTCACGACGGGTGGCTTCACCAACCTAGTGGGAGGTGAAGCCGCTGTCTTATCCCACACTATAGGGGAAGAATAAACGGTCACAGAGATACTGCTGCTTTGGAGAGGAAATATAACAGGGGGGGGTACGCAGACCCTTTCCATACCCCTAACCCCATCCCAACTTCCCCGATTGCATGCTTCATCCAACATGTTTACTAAATCGAAAAACCCGCGAAGACTACTGTGGAGCTAGCTCGGCATGTGCTGTAGCTCCTGCTCACACTGATGTGCCCACTCTACCCCTTTCTTTGCTCTCATGTACAGTCGGCCCGCCGATATGAAACATCAAGATCGGGTCGAGGCTCAGTTTTCTTTTTTCATCGTCACTGCTACTGTCGAGCACAGGTTGTTATCTGGGCTGTGGGATCCACCGCTGAGCTATTTATGCTTCTTTGGCCTGTTTTGTTAAACTATAATTCGTGACATCAACTAGTCTATTGAGCCCGTGTCTTGACGAAATACTTCGGTGTATTTCTATACTGCGGACCCGTACTGTACCCATGGACGCACTCCTAATTGACGCAGCAGCTCTCGAGCAGGTTCGGGTTGTGCACGCCCTCCATGGCTCACACCGTCTAGCACATAGAGGATAGTCGAGCCGGGAGATTTGGCATGGAGGAAAAAAAGTCGCGATTTTTTTTCAATGCACGCACGGTTACGCACAAGCCATGCACCTACAACTTGGCAGTCCCGCCTATCCAGACCTAGCCGGTCGCCCCGGTGGTCTAGTAGTTACCCTCGCAGCCTGCTAAGGGCCAGGTCATGGGTTCGAGTCCCGGCAGAGTGAGTTTTTTCTCACTAAAAAAATCCTGGTCTAGGATGAAAGCGATGCGCTGCAGAGTTCGTTGTTCGTAAACCTTAATCGACTTCGTTAGCCGCGAGGGAAGGGATTGCTGTACCCTGCTCGCGATAAAAATATCTTAGGCAGGAACCGCAGGAGGGGGTCCAGCCCCCCCCTCCTATGTGACCCCGGTTGGGTCGTCAAGCTAGTAGAAGTGGAGGATAGGGGCCAGAGGGGCAGACGACAGAGTCCAATGATGGGAGAAAAAAACAAAAACAAAAACAAAAAAAGACCTGCACGACACCGTTTCCTACCCAAGAGCGACAGCACCTACCCACGTTAGGATCAACCTAGCACCTATCCAAGCAGTATCAACCTAGAGCTTTCCCCGTCAACACCAAGCTAGCGCCAATACTGGCACACCAACCTACAACTGAGCCACCCAGCGCAAACTTAGCACCTATCGGGTCGGTTTGGGGTTAGGGTTAGGGATAATAGTGTTGGGGTTTTTCGCCGGTTCGTGCCCCTGCCAACGCGGAGCACCTAGTGTTAAGAAGCACCAGAATGGCATTATTAGAAGCCGATTGGTTGCCTGCTGAAGGATCAACCCCGCAGCGCCTGTCGTAGATTAGGACAGAGGTTCGAGCTTTGTAACATTATTTCTTTTTTTCCCTGCAGGCAGTGTTTTCGGTCTGTCGAGGGCATGGGTGCATGACTTATTTGCATACCCATGGGCACATAAAAATGTTTTGGGGACGTCGCCGGTGATGCACTCTAACCTCAAACGGCAACCCATTTGACTGCTGCCGTTGGCGTTTCCTTGGCTCCGGCGCCACCGTGATGGTGTTTGCCGATCCTCTGTTGAGTGTGAAGGGGCGATCTTTGATTCTGCCTTGGGGAGCAGAGCCGTCCTCGGATAACTCCCGTTGGCAAGCATGACGTGGGGGCATGTGGTACCGTTTCTTGTAGACGTTGCTTCACATGACCATCTTGGCACTTTGTTGCGTGATGGTCGCGTTGTGGTTTCAGACACAGCGTTTTCTGGTACTGCTACGTAGCCGTGGCACTGCAGTATCCGAAGCGAAACCATCGGTACAAACAAGTTTGATGCACGTGTGCCGGTCGATGATACTGTTCTGTAGCTTTGTTCCATTGTTACTCATGCTCACCAAGATACTGTTGATGTTGCAAGTGCTGAAACTAAAGCTGTTGATACTGCGATCTCCGACATAAAAATCGCTCTGACAGACGCGTCAGAAGAAGCTGCAACGCCTCCGGGCCCTTCGCTCCTACATCCAAACTCCTCGTCATTTGTTGGACGTAATCATTTGAGCCTCAGCGACGGAAGTGGTGGGCTTGTCAAGAGTGATGGCGCTCAAAATCTGCACCACCCCTTGCGATTTCACTCCTTCTAAATACGGATACATACGCAGAGTTCCGTCAACGTCGTGCCTATTGCAAAGAACAATGACAAGTTAATTCAAAATCACCGCAGGTGGATGATATGCACGGCCAGGAAGAGGAGGGTTCGCACGGCCGGAGGAGGGCTGTTACCGTCTGATGGCAAAACATGACGAGATGGCGGACCGGATGGCGAACCAGATGGCAGAAAACGTGGATGAGGCCTGCCGTGGGGGCGAGATGTCGCCATCGACCAGGCGAGTAATATGTCGTATCTATTGTCGTCCCCTCTCAAGTCTATGCGCCCTACGCACAGCTCACACAAGTTAACACGTCCTTGTTTATTGTCTAAAGTTTACACTCCTTATGCCCTTAACTTGTTTTCCATGTGCCTGACCCTACCCCAAATATAGTTCATGCTGAGCAAACCAACGCATGTGTTATGGTTGTGATCTCCACCACCTTGGCTGGCTCAGGCAGCGCTCACTCCGGTAGTCTGTCAAGATTTTTGTTTCACGAGTTCTCCCTTTGGATAGCGCTTTTTGGTATGGAACATCCGTCCCATGCCCTCCGTTCTCGGCTACAAACGCCCCGCACAGCACAGCAAGCTCCCATACGGAAACCAACTAGTGTTCCGCATAGCGACCGACGAAAGATCCTTGGGTGCTGCCACAGCTGTAGTGGCTACGTCGATGATCTGTGTTGCGGACACGTTGGACACCCACCATGAGGAGCGGCTGGTTCAGGTCGGAACAATGCCGGGGAAGGTGGAAGGCGCGCGGAGGGGGGGGGCGCTAGTATTTCGTGCTCACTGAGGTTGCCGCAATGAGGACGGGGGGCGGGAACACGAGTAGGGGGCGCCTCGAGTATTTCACAGACCATCTTGGAGTACACAAACCTATTTCGCAGGTACACCGTGCAGCACCTTGATGGCTGTGACACCTAGGTTGATGGTGCCCGCCCGTAGCAGTTACTGCACCTGCAACGGGACCTCGAGCAGCGCCATATTGTCAGGAGTGCAGTCCCATGGGATTTCGCGTCTGTTACACACGACGCTCATCACACCAGAGGTACACGTGTTGACGAAAGAAGGTTCCTGAAGAACATTCATCGTTCCCCACTTTCCTGGTCTGTAAGAGGAATACTCTACATGCATTTAAAACCAAAAATGGTTATTAAAATGAAATAAAATTTGGATTTACGTGTTGTGGTCCACGTTGATCGATAATTCGGGTGGCTCAGTTCTGTGTGTTGGGAGTGTAGAGCAGCTGGGCCATGACGGGCCATGGTAGGGGAGGGAAGTATAGGAAAACGTATTGTATTCTTCTGGGGCGTGCGCGTGCTCGTAAATCTGTCACGGCATCAAGCACGCGTCACGCTCATCACGCTCAAACTACCAAACGGATCTCTCTGATTCCTCCGCATCTCATCACTGCAATTTCCGTACGTACGTACTGAAGATCTTACCCGTCATACTTTGCTACGAGTACCCCCAATATATCTAATACACGTCCCCTCAATAGTTGAACCTCTGTCGCGATGTATTTTTTCTCGCGGCACGTGCGGGGATACATGTTTGGTCTATATCGAGCTACGAGGAGATTGTAGCAACACGGGTTTTGAAGGGAAGACAATCGCGTCACTGGCTGTGCTAACGTCGAAGTTGGCACTCACGAGAGCTTTTCAGCTATATTTCCCTTTCGCCCGCAACCTTTAAAATCTTTTCACCCCATGGGGATTCGAAGTCAAGACCTCTGCGTCTAGCACGACCTCTGCGCCTAGAGGTTTACGAGGATACCACTAGACCACCGGGGCGACCGGTTTCGCAAGGAAATACGGGCGGAATGGTTTTCAACGGATAAAGCGGAAAGTAAGTGTGGTCGCACGAAGAATATAAGTACGGCAGACATTTCATGAAGTGTAGGTCACATTGTCCTGGTCCTCGCCAGTGGGCATCCACACGTGGTCGTGATAAACTCCTGGGCGAACAGCTTCGTGAACTTGTGAAAGCTAGCCTGTATAACGCCCTCACTCATGTGTGAAGCCTGGCTCATGTCCTCGAAGAAGTTTCCCCTATCCAAGATGTGCAGGGATGACAAGACCTGTGCACATAGACGTCGTGCGCGGTGTACGGTCGGCGGGAATTGATCGTCGGTTGTCAGGTTATTCGCGGCGCTGCATTTTCGACTACTTAAAGAACATGGCATACCGGAAGGGGCATGAGCATCACAGCAGTATCTTCCTGCAGCAGCAGCCCTGGCGATAGACGTAGAAAATGGCGTGAGGGGGGTTTGGCGAGAATAATTTACCACAATGTACCTGCAGCAGCTTCCATAGACTAGGTGTACACCACGTTTTTCTCATCTTTGGCACAAGCCCTGCGGTCTACGGTACGACTGTGTACTGCTGCCCACTTCGTTCATGGATGTAGACTATGTGTAGACCATACTTACGTTGCCCTTGCTCTCCTACGACACCCAGTCGCGCCACTCTGTATTTCACATACTACGTGCGTGCGTGTGTAGACCATACATTGTCCTTGTTCTCAGTGTGCACACAAATATGCATATAATAGTCTAGATGGATGCATGCATGCCAGTTTTGGAATCGGCGCGTCTCAATAATTCATCACCTTCAGCTCGACTGGGATGCACATGCGCCCGGCCACATCTTTCTTGCGCATGGGGAACCACTTCTTCTTCTTGACCAGTTCCATGAGCTCGGTGAAGAACTGGTAGGGGATGCGGAAGCGCCTCCGAAAAATCTTGGCCTCTCTTGACGCTGGTTCCTTGAGGCCCGTCTCGCCCAGCATGCGCCACCAAAACGAGGCACGGTAATCTGGCCTGGAAGAACTCGCCGGGTACGCTTCATGTGGGAGCCACCGCCAAGGCCTTCGTCCTCCAACTCGTCGCCATCTGGGAAGGACCGCAGGATAACTCGCCAGGTCGCCACGGTGAGCACAGCGCGTTGCCGCTCGCGACGTCTCCGCTTCGCTGCTGCAACAAGAACAAGAAGGTGGGCATGTCGTTCGTCGTCGCTGCCGCTGTCGTCGGCCGCACTCGCGTGCTCCATCGCGCACCCGGTCCAGTCTGTGCTGGGTGCTGGAAAGCTCGTGCACACACACGCCACGCTCGG